TGACCAGCACTCAGGACCATCATCCTACCTGTATCGAGGGCAACTTGGACCAGACAGCAGTGACAAGCACCAAGGCTGGGCCAACCTCCCAGCCCTAATGGAAGTGGAAGCGGACGAATCTTGCCGTACGGGAACTTCGGACGCCAGGCTCATGCAATATTCTACAGGCCCAATTCAGAGAGTCTACCCAGCAGGATTACCTAAGCAAGGCAGGCCAGCGCCGGCAGACACATCCTACCGTCCCTCCCCTAGCTTACCCAAGGTTAGGCGGAACTCAGACTAGCCGGAGCGACTTATATCCCTACCCTACCCTAGAGCTAAGCCATGCGTGAGTAGACCCCGTCATATACCTGATAGACCCCTCCAGCCCAGTATCGTAGTTGTGTGTATGTGTGTGTGGCCAGAGGCTATGTATGTTTGTATGAGCCCATAGGGCCATGTTTTTTGTGTCTGCCCGAAGGCTATGTGTGCTCTGTGTAACTTTATAGCGAGATGTGTGTGCCCGAAGGCCAGATATGTGCAGTTCTATGTAGAGGGAACTATGAGTTCGCTTGAAGAGATGACAGGCCAAGCTGGACAAGAACACCCCCTAAAGTCCCAAGCCAGACTCGAACCCGTGATCTATGACATGTGACCTGAAGACTTTACCATTTGAGAGACAATTGCAAACGGCCCCTGTGTATGATATGCCAGACTGGGGAGATCAACAGAACAACCACGAGCAACAGCCACAGGCAACCCACGCAGTATCAAGACCCGACATACAACACCATGGACAGTCCCCTGGGTGGTGCGCAGGCAGTGTCTGTAATAGCTTACCATGCATCAGCCCAAGGGGGTGTGCGTCCAGCCGTGCGTCATTCTAACGCCCTGCCGGTGTCCATGCACAAGGCTGCAATTGAGTTTTAGGACCCTGCAACCTCATGCCACAATGCGCATTTCCAACCGGTGCTCTGACCACTGAGCTACATCAACTGGACATATGCCTGCAACCGTACGGTACGACATCGTCACTCTCAATATACACTAGCCAGGTACGGTACGACATCGTCAGTCTCAGTATACACTAGCCAGGAATAGTACATATCGAGTACGATCCCCGCAATGTGGTGGTGATTTCTTTTGAGCTGCAGGCCTGTCTTTACACCACCAGGGCGAGCTGTTGAAGACCAACTCCCCAGCAGCTGAACACCCTGGCTTTTGATCAATTCCCGTCATCTACCCATAGAGAAGGAATAAATACTGGGGAAACCTGCTCAATGCCTTGTGCCATGAGGATTGTGGAGGGATAGGCAACAACATTCTGACATGTCATGTCCAATCTGTAGACGGGCTGGAACGGCATTGGCTCTACAATTGCGGTCTACTACAAAATTGCGGTCTACGTGCCTCCGTGTTCCTAGCATGTAGGAGCCAAGTGGCCTGTGACATCTGTCTACGCTGTGCCATTCGATGCAGCAACTGCGACTGCGAGAATTGGATGCGGTGCTTCCACAGTCCGAACCGGTCCTGTCCGGTCTGTAGGGATGGCCACTTACCTAAGGCTTAGGCAATGGCTGCTCCTCATATCAAAATGTTATGCAACCCAAACACTGACTGGCCTCATGTGCCATTCTAGAGTAGTCTGCTCCAGTGGTGAGTACTTAGAAGTTAGAGCCCTCAGGCCGTGAGAACTCCACATCTTATTTCCTTTCTTCTCCCTCCTCTTCTGTACTATGAGTAAATACGTGCGGATGATCATTACTAAACCACCAGTACCTTTCCCCACTTGAAAAAAAAATACTGCGGTGGTTAACACGGGAAGTTCAGGCCTGCTGCGAAATGGCTGGCCAGCCAGATACATTGTGTCGGTTCGTTTTTCTCTGGCACGCAGGGCAAATTAAGGCCTGCGGCCGATGTATGGGAAAGGCGCCGGTGGTTTAAAGAGAACAGACAAAATATAAGCTGAACATCTGAAGAAATATGAACAGGAATATACCTTCGCCTTGACTCTGCCTCCTGTCGTAATGTGCAAGTGGGCCGTTATGGCACAAGGGGATGTGGGCAGCTCGCGCTCAACCACTATCACTGTGGCAAGCCTTGTACATGAGATGCACAGTAAGACGGGAGTTGCAAGGACAAATGAAATGGGTACCCAAAAAAGCCAAAGTGAACACGGTTAAGAAAGGGATTCAAACGCTTCCCTTTTGCTCCGTGTTGCCTGCTATAAAGGTAACTGTTTCATTGTTGGTTTGTCTCAACTCAAGAAGTGTTTCGTTGTCTGCAATATGAGCTGATGCTTCTATTTTACATCTACTCATCTGAGTGGAATAGGGGCTAAAAAAAAAAAAAAAAAGGAATAGGGGCTGTTGTGGTGAAAAAAAAAAAAAAAAAAACATTCTCTTGGAGTTGGAGTTGGAGTTGGAGTTGGAGTTTTGTATAGTCATCAGCAGCACTAACACTGGTAGGGGTATGGGTGCTTTATTCTTCGGTT